ATCTTACTGGATAGGATAACTACTCCTCCACCTTTGTCCGCTGGTTTTATTACAATCTCTTTATCCATCTGAAGCTCTTTAATTGCCCTTCTTTCTCCTATTGTGATGTTATTAGTGTCATATTTATTATATTTGATTTTCTCAAAATCTTTTTGAACAAGTTTTTCAAATAGAGTGAGAGGAGCCGATTTGCAATGAGATGGATAAAATTTAGATTTTTCTTTGAGGTGTGTATTTATAAATGGACCTTTATCTATTGAGGGTAATGGAGATAAAACTGGTACTTCATCATTTTTACCGATAAAAAATCTTTTCAGAGTTGCCTTTCGGATAAATTTGTTTATATCTAGAAAAGCCTGAAACGAATTAAAAGAGGATGTGGGGGCAAATTTTAGACCTCTGTTAAGAACCGACAATTGTGTAGCTGTTAAAATTTTGTGTGAAAGATTAAAAATACCACTGTACACATTGTTGGGAGGTATTATGGTCTTTCTAGCCTCTCTCTTTTTTTCCCGTCTTCCACTTCGTCTTCCTCTAGGCTTAGAATCCTTTTTTGGGAACGTGATGGGTGCGGTGTTTGGGCTAGTGAGGGTTGGTGAGTACGAATTTCTAAAAAATGATCTTCATTATCGAAGTCGGAATCAACTGACAATAGTTGGTATCTGTTTGAGTGACTAGGGATAGTGGGGGATTTAGAATAGTTGGAATATTCATTGTGATCATTGGTATAACATGATCTTTGTGGTTTAGGTGAGAAGTTGAAACCAGAGGAATTGTGGTATTTTGGAGATTGAGGTATAGACTTGTAGTTGTAGTGGGAGAGTTTTCCTGGTTTTTGTTGGTATGTGTTAATATTGCTTTGGTATGGCAATTTTGAGGGAGCGTGATATTGTTGAGTAAAAGTGTTTGAAGGTCTTGTTCTTAGTGGAGATTGATAGTGGGGCTTGCGTGTAGTATAATTTTGATATTTGGGAGGTTGGTAGTGTGATGAGTTATTTTTAGAATAATTACTTGTGTGATTCCTTTGATCATGATAATTGGTCCTAGAGGTGTAATTTTCAGAGGTATATTTTTTTCTAAGATGATAAGTTCTAACTTGTTTATTAGAGTAGTCGGTTTTATCTCTGATGTATTTTTTAATTTTCAAGTGTTTCGTATCGACTTCTACTTTTTCAATTTTGTTTTGAATCAATATAGAATTTTGTTTATATGCTTTAGTATCAGTAAACGGTAAGAGTTTGTCTTTGAGGTCATTTATCTCAATATCTAAAATCGATAATTTTTTACTTTTTTTAATTATTAGAGTTTCCATTAGACCGAAGGTGCATAGTTCTAATTTACTGTTCCATTCGTCCATAAATTCGGGATCTTCTTGATCCGAGGTAGGTAACTTTAAAAGTCTTAAACCACGTGGGGTAATCTGCTCATCTATGTATTTTTTAAGAGTGGCAATTTCCCATTTTAGTTTGATTTCTGTGGATAGGGCTTTTTCTAGTTTGGTGAATAGATCTTGTTGGTTCACATTATAGGAAGTTGTTGGGATAGAACTATTCATTTCTGTGTTAAATACATTATTTATATCAATTGTATGTTTATTTCTGTATTCAAATATAGACATAGTAATAGTGGTTGGGAGGCAGCTATCTCAGGAGGGAATTAAAACAATGGTAAAATAAATAAAGGAAAAGAGACAGCGCCAGACAACCAGTAAGGCAGCAACCCAACAAGGGAATCCCCCCAAAACCCTAAAATACAGGATAAAAGCAAAATATAAAAGGAGGGCTGCGCCAGAATAAACAGTGTCCAGTATCAATAGTTATTGAAGATAAAAAGTCCGACCTAAAAGGTATCCTCTCTGTCGTCTTTAGGTACAGGAACGCGATCTTCAGGTAATATATAAAAGATAAAAGGAGAGAACAAACGATGGTGCAGAATGTACGGTTCAAATGAAGTAAAAATTGATTAATGATAACGAACTCACAATTTCCAGAGCTTCTGTCCAGCTCTAGGGTAAAGCGCACACAGCGGTATAATCCCCGCTTATGGGATTTATGATGGGTTCGTCAGGGTATCCAAAACTCAAAGGAAACAGAAACAGCCAAATAGTGCTCTCTGTATAACTGTATATTATAAAAGAGAATAAAAAAAACGTACTTACAAGTACAGAGCAGACCAACTGCTCTTTGATGTCAGCGCTGGTGGAATAATCCCCACCTATGGATTTCTTTGGTTGTCAGGAACTTGTAGAGATAGTATTAAAATCGGAATAGAGTGTATATAAAATATAACAATGAACTAAAACGATAAATAGCCAGGGTACATGTATAAATAAAAGTAGTTGGGACTATCAGTTAACCAAAAACTTTAATATTTATTATACAAAATTAAATTTCCATAACGCGTTTCGTCTAACAGACTTTATCTGCCAGGTTTTGTATTATATTCCATTTGATAAAGTCTGTTGGAGCGGCAGATATCGAAACGAACATAAATATCTTAAAATTTTTGATTAATGAATCCCAACTACTGTTAATAACCTTCAACTATTATCGTTACAATTCATTATTACTATTTATATACACTATTCGATACTATACCTACAATTCCTGACTAACAAAAATCCAGCATTACAAAATGCGTTAACCTAACCAGCCGAGTAATATTCTTTGGCTATTGTCTCTTTTCCTTTATTTATTTTACATATTAGCAACTACCTGGTGACCCTGGTCAATCTATATCTTCCAAACACACGACAATGTCACACCTTCCGTAAAATCTTAAACAAGGTTCAACAACTTACAACAGGGACCTTAATTATAGGGGGAGACCTTAACGTATCTCTAGATGCCCAAAAAGACAGCACGACGCGACACCCTAACCATCTCCAACCGACCAGAACGCAAATTAAACGACTACTGCACAGCCATCAATTAGTGAACTGCTGGAGAGCACTCCATCCCACCACGAAAGACTACACATTTTACTCCAGACCGGCCTCAACATACACTAGAATAGATTATTTCATCACCACACACAGAGACCTCTCACTCGTAACCTCGGCAACAATCGGCAACATCACTTGGTCCGATCATGCCCCGGTTCAGATACAGCTCTAAATTCCTGCCCTAGCTCAGGGTACAGGCCAGTGGAAACTAAACACCACCATATTGCATGACGAAACGGCAAAACAGGCCATTGCCAAAACTATCTCCCAATATTTTCTAGACAATAACACACAAGACACAACTCCTTTCCTCCAGTGGGAAGCACATAAGTGTGTAGTGAGGGGGGAACTAATAAAATGGGGCTCCTTTCTTAAAAAAATGAGAATTAAGAGACAGACAGAGTTATTGACGGACATAAAAAACTTAGAAGAGGCGCATAAGGAAACCATGTCTGAATCCGATCATCGCAAACTTCTGTCCCTTAGGTCTGAACTAACACTTCTGCTACAATCAAAGGCTAAAAAATCACTGGTATGGACTAAACAGTTATTTTATGCCCAAGGGAATAGGTGTGGTAAACTCCTAGCAAACGCACTAAAGCATAGGCAGGAGAGAACGTACATCCCCCAGATTAAAACAGCAAACAACAACATTGTACAATCAAACAGCGAGATAGCAAAAACATTTAGGGAGTTTTACCACTCACTTTACAATCTAACGAGTACATCACAGGACAAGGATAGGATCAAGGCATACCTAAGTGATAAATTCGACAAAATACTACCCCAAACACTGGCCAGATCCCTAGATGAGCCCTTCACTCTCAACGAGCTCATGAACGCAATTAAAACCACCCCATCGGGCAAAAGCCCAGGTCAAGATGGCTACTCGGCTACGTACTATAAGACGTATCTGAAAGAGCTAGGCCCACACCTGCTTGAAGCGATTAACTCCATAAGCCCTGACAAACCCCTCCCTAAACCGAGTCTGGAGGCCAATATCACTCTTATCCACAAGGCCGGGAAGAACCCTGATTTATGCGGCAGTTACAGACCAATCTCGCTGATTAACGTAGATATCAAAATCTTTACTAAAATGTTGGCATTACGATTGAAACCTATGCTCCCAACCCTGATCCACCCTGACCAGGCGGGATTTGTCCCCTCTAGGGAAGCCAAAGACAACACCACGAAGATCATTGCCCTGATCCACGAAGCTCTCAGTAATAAAGCCCCTTCCATCATGTTAGCTATTGACGCGGAAAAAGCGTTCGACAGGGTGGATTGGAGTTTTCTGTTGTCGACGCTGGAAACACTAGGCTTTGGGAAAAGGTGGATGCAGTGGGTCCAGGCAATCTACTCTCACCCCTCGGCACGGTTTAAAATTAATGGGATACTGTCCGATCCGTTCCAAATAACGAACGGCACGAGACAGGGTTGCCCCCTGTCTCCGTTGCTTTTTATCTTGGGATTGGAACCTTTGCTAAACGCGGTACGGAACAGGCCGGGTGTAGAGGGAATAAGGGTGGGTGCACACCAGTACAAAGTGTCGGCATTTGCAGACGACTTACTTTTTACACTCACTAACCCCCTAGAGTCCCTCCCCACACTGATGGACCTCTTAGACGAATACAGTGCCCTATCCAACTTCAAAATCAATGTCGACAAATGTGAAATACTGAACCTCACATTACCAGACAAGGACAAAACACGACTACAAACGCGATATGCATTTCAATGGGCAACAAAGTCCATCAAATACTTAGGAGTCAATATAACTCCACACAATAAGCTATTATATGGAGCTAACTTCCCACAAATCTTAGGAGCTATTAGTGCGGATCTGGAAGCATGGAATAAACCACACTTCCGATGGTTTGGGAGGATAAATATTCTAAAAATGAATGTACTCCCCAGACTGCTATACTTGTTGAACACTCTCCCAATCGCCATTCCAATAACCTTTTTTAAGAAAATTCAGGCATTATTTACACAGTTCATATGGGCCAAAAGACGTCCAAGAATAAGGTACAACATACTCACGAGACCTAAGGAGATGGGGGGGGTGGGCCTGCCGGACATCTGGCTATACTACCAGGCGATACACGTAGGCCGAATTATAGACTGGACATACCAAAACGCCTCCAAAGAGTGGGTTACAATAGAACAAGCTCAGATAGGCGACTCATTGAAGGCAATACCATGGCTTCAGACCTCGGTTAACGACTGGACGACACTAGCACACCCGACGGTAACACCAACCCTACAAATATGGAAAAAAGTACGCAGCTACCCAGACATTGCCCCAACACCGTCTCCGAAATACCCTATAACGAACAACCCCCTTTTCATAGCAGGGAAAAGGGGCTTCCAATTGAAACCACTGGGAGACGACCAACGGAAGGCACATATGACACTAGACGAGGTAGTGAGAGAGGGGGGAGTGACGCCAATCACACTACTGACAGAAGGGAAAGACCCATCCCTCATGCAGAGATTTCAGTATGCACAAATGCGACATTTCTTGACTGCACAGGGCTTATCACATTGGACTCCAAGGGACAGGACAAAATTTGAACTATTATGCTCGGGAAAAAAAACGCCTCACAAGCCAACATCCCTCTGCTATAAACTGTTACAAACACAGATGTGTACACAATTACCGTACTTTACCAGATTATGGAGGGACCACTTAGGCAAAGATTTAGAAGTAGGAGACTGGAAGAATATCTTCCAAACGATCTTCCACGCACACTCTAGCATACCACTACAGGAGATTAACTATAAATTCATCTCCAAGTGGTATACCACCCCGGTGGATGTACACAGATTCGACTCCAACTCATCACCAATGTGCTGGAGATGCAACTCAGATAAGGGCACCTTCCAACACATATGGTGGACTTGTGAGGAGCTATCGGGCTTCTGGAAAGAAGTCTGGACCACTGCCAATCTAATAACAGACACGTCCATACCCTACATCCTGGAGGCACTCCTCCTACTCCACTTTGAAATACCACACCGTAAATTCAAACATTCCCTCGTTTACTTTATGCTGACAGCGGCAAAAAGTTCGATAGTGAACCACTGGAAATCGGCTATCCCGCCCTCTAAAAAAGACTGGTTTCAAAGAATAGAACATTTTCATGAGATGGAGGAACTTAGATGGGGATCATTAGACAAATATCACAGATACAAAGACATATGGCAACCTTGGAAAGAATTGCTAAGAGGTAGACAGGCCGACGACTAAAAAACCATCATATCTGCCTAGAGTGGGGGAAGCTAACCAGGAAAGGGACAAGGAACAGGGCCGGGGGGTGGGACAGAGGGAGCACGGGGGGTCCTTATCTCCGCCTCTTGCACAACAATCTAACTACCTGGATATAACAGGCTAAATCACAGTGATACCCAGAACAACATACCATAACTCTTGGACGCAAGTTATACCGCACACACACACATAGGAATCAACGGCCAAGGCGGCAGGTTTACCGTGACAGATATGAAACCAATGTGTATCCTAGGCCAAATAAAATTGTTACTGAGAATGTCATACTTGTATTCAGTGCTGCGATGTTGCGATATCTTATTTCTTCTTCTTTCTTTTTCCTTATAACACTACGTTTTGTGTTACTACAATGTTATAATACAATGTCTTACCTTACTCCTGAAACATGGAGACATGCACTCAAAAAATCCAATAAAAATAAAATATATAAAAAAAAAAAAATGTGGGCAGGTAACAATTGTACCAATTTTAACCACTCTGCATTTCCTCTAGATACATATATGTGTTCTTCATTTACATAACAAATGTCTGCATTGTTAAAGAGACACTCCAAGCACCATAACCACTACAGTCTGCACATCACCATCAGTTAGCCAGTGGTTGTTAAGGAACCTGAATCTTTATAATGGCAACACTAGCACTACACCAGCAACACTCCAAACTGGGGATGATGGGGAAAAAAATTTCAACAAACTATCTGAGCCAGACAATTTGCTGTGTTGGAGAATTTTTTTTTACATTTTGGATATTTTTGCCAAAATTTTAATCCCCTTTGCCAATTGTTTGCAAGTTTCAGTTCCAGTTCCAGACAATAAAGTTGTCAGCTCACTGGTTAGTCAATACAACCTTTAGTTTTAGAATAATCATTCTTTGTAGACATGTAGAATTCGTTACGTTACGAATTTGAATTCGGACGAATTTCGGGAAATTCATATGCTTCTGAATGTCCGAAGTGCCAAATTTGTTCCTAAGTGTTGAAGTGCCAAATTTGGCAACACTAGCACTAAACCAGCAACAATCCAAACTGAGCATGATGGGAAATATTTTTTCAACAAACTATCTGAGCCAGAAAATTTGCTGTGTTGGAGAATTTATTTTTTTCATTTTGGATATTTTTGCCAAAATTTAAATCCCCTTTGCCAATTGTTTGCAAGTTTCAGTTCCAGTTCCAGACAATAAAGTTGTCAGCTTACTGGTTAGTCAATACAACCTTTAGTTTTAGAATAATCATTCTTTGTAGACATGTACAATTCATTACATCACGAATTTGAATTCGGACGAATTTCAGGAAATTCAGATACTTCCGAATGTCCGAAGTGCCAAATTTGTTCCTAAGTGCTGAAGTGCCAAATTTTGGAAGTGCCGAACCAAACGAATTACCGAAGTGCTGCAGTACTTCGGATTTCTGAAAAGTGGCAAAACAAGAGAGGTAGGGAAAATTACGTGAATGATGACAGGGGTAGGGTTAAGGTTAGAGGTAGAGGTAGGGTTGGGAGTAGGGTTAGGGGTATGGAGCCCTACAGATGTTCTGAATTCCGAAATGTCGAAGTCCCGAATTGCCAAAGTTCCAAATTGCCGAGGTTCAGAATTTCTGAAGTGCCGAACCAAACTGAATTGCTGGAGTGCCGAATTGCTAAAGTGCCGAATTTTTTTACTTACCCCAAATTTCCAAACCAAACCACATTTTTTGCCCATGCACATCCCTAGTTCTTTGCCCCAAATTTGCTGAGGTTAGAATAAAGTTGCATAGTAGACTAACTTTTGGCTTCAAATAAATTGTGATTTATATAAATTTTGGATGATTTGGCGATTCGTCCAAAACACGAATTATAAAACAAATGAAATAAGTAATAAACAAGCCACTTCTTTGTTTCATGTTTTGAAGTTCTGTTTGTGGTGCCAAAAAAATTAGCTTATCAGTGTATTTCAAAATGTGTTATTAAACTTGAGCATATGAAAAAAAAAATGTAAGTAGTCTGAATCAAATTGTTCTAAAAAAAATTAGTTTCGAGAAATATATATACATATTATATATGTTTCTTTATGCAGCCCTAGCCACACCTCCCTTGACTGTGACGCAGACTCCATAAAAAAGTTTTAATTTTTACAGCACAGTGTGTTTACTATAAAAGATTTTAGATACAGTGCTATTAATTTAAGTAATAATTATCTAATCTAATCACACACAAGAGGCTGTTGCATTTAACAGAGCAGGAGGTTAGACACTCTGAATTAAACACAATGTGCAATAAGAGAAGAGAAAAAAAAGAGCTCTTATTCAGGAAATGTGTAGGGAGTCTGTGTGAGTCCCAAACAGGGGATGTGTGGCAAGGGATGCATATACAAAGTGGTTAAACTCCTAAATGGCAAAAAAAATATTAGTGAGACTGCAGGGGCATGACCAATACACCAAAATCACTTGATTAAGCTATCATTATTTTGATATGCAGACTGTTGCTTTAAAAATGGTTTATACTAGTTATGAAATATGGTAGAACAGGTGGTTGCAAAGAACAAATTTTACAGGATATGAGTTGGCAATATGGTTTTAAAGTCTGCTTGGAAGTCTTAAAGAACGTAGGAAAATGCATTCAAAGAATGTGACAGAGATGGAACCAGAGCGCTTCAAAAAGGTACTATGTCCCTAATTTTCTCTTGACTTTGCATCTAATAATCCCTGATAGTTCTAACTTGTAAGAAAAGACTATTTGAATTGCTAATAACTTAAAGGTAGCATTGATTGCTTAGGTCAGCATCAGTTGCATGGATTTAGAAACCTGACATGGAATTTAGACAGATAGTTGGATTAGAATAAGATATCTACATTTACTTTCTGTGCTTGGGAATTTACAATGACATCATAACCAGTATACCACTGAAAAAACTCAAACTAAAACACTTCTTTCAAAAAGCAAACATATTAATAATTATCACATAGATAAGTCATAATATATTTGGATAATAACAAATAACAAATAGGTGAGAGCACACAAAATAAGGAAATACTACCCACACTGCAGTCAATTAATCTGGAAAAAAAACAAATAAAAAAGACATAGAGTAGTATAGCCTGATAAAATATATTAACAGTAGGTGTCAATCACACTCACATAGACAGAGCCACTTAGATAGCTGGCTCAAACTGGATGCCTTGAATATACAAACAGGACCTCCACTGGGAACTTCTTTCTCCTTTACATGTAAAACCTCCAGGACGCAGAATTACCGGGGGTAAAAACACTTTATTCTTCAAATCTTGAAGTAAATAAAAACATAAATCCAAAGGTAAATTAAAAGTCCCAAAACAAGAGTCCAATCACTTGACGCGTTTCGGCTGTTTGCCTTCATCAGAAGTGATGTCAATATCCAAGGCATCTCGATTAAAATAGTTGAATTTGGCGCCCTTTCCCTCCTCCGTTAGGGTTGCGCCCTTCCGTTTCCGGTTCTGACGTCGGAACGCCTTCTGCGTCATCACGTTCCGACGTCAAACATCATTTCCGGTTCCGGTGACATGTTTGTAGTCCGGGCGTACGGACGCATAGAAAAGCAGCGTCCTTGCGTCACATTAGTAATGTAATGTCCATAGGTTACTGGCCACCAATTTGGTATTTATTTGGTGGCCAGTAAGCTATGGACATTACATTACTAATGTGACGCAAGGACGCTGCTTTTCTAGGAAGCTTAGGGGAGTGGGCCTTGACATTCCTAGGAGACAGGCATAGGAGGGCTGTAGTGGGGGGGACTGGCTAGTATAATTGGAGGTGGGATTTGTGTTAGTGGAGTATATATAGTGGCTATTTTAGATCAGGGGCCATCTTAATTAATCCTCACTTGCCTGTTTTGTGCAGGCTGTGTGGTGTCTCTCTCTATTGTCTTGTAGGTGCTGCTGGCTGAAGAATGGAGGCTTGGCTGGCGGGTGTCCCGGCTGGGCCTAATGCTGCAGGATTCACAGTGATGGCTGCAGGGCCCCGTGCGCGTCCCACATGGAGGACCCAACCGCCGCAACGTCTGAGTCCCAGAGTGGGCTCCAGCAGGAGAAGGAGGGTGAGCCCATCCCTGAATCCAAGGCCGGAGACTGCGGTGGGCAGCGGGAGTTTGGGAGGTCGTGGCCGGCGTTGCCGTGCGGCCGCATGGTCTAGCTGTCTACCTGGGAATGAGGCTAAGGGTCCACGTTCAGGCCACGAAGGAGGGGAACAGTCGGGCGGTGAACTAGATTCGCTGGAGGTGGCGAAAGCTAGGGCCACAAACAGGCGAGTGTGGAGGCAGGCGTCCATTTGGGTGCAGGCAATTTAGGGACCAAAAGCGCGGAACTAGTTGGGGGCATTCCAGTCGCGGCTAGGCAGAATGTTCACGTCTCATTCACAGGCCAGTTGGGGTGTCACCTTAAACCAGAAGTGAAGTAGAGGATAGGGAAAGAGGAATTTGTGGAGATCTTTTCTCTTCTTCCTATGGACCAAAATTTGGACATGAAGGAAGAGGATAAAAAAGATGCTAAAAAGGAGGAAGAGGAGAAAAGTCGCCGCTATCATAAGATACCTAAAACTTTTGGGAATTGGTTGAGGGCTTTTTGCATTCTAACAAGCATTATGCAGGAGAAATCCCCCAAGCAATGCTCGCAGCTGTTTTAATACTTGGAAGGGGATTTGGGAGGCATACCACACTTACGGAGGCTTGGCTTGGTGGCAGTACGACAAACAGTTTTAGCAGCGGCTTTCGGTCAGTCCGGTCATGAGGCGCGGGATCTTCTTCGTCCTTGTCAGTTGTCCACAAAAAAGGGTTCTGCTGGATGTGTAACGAGGGGCAGTGTAAGTGGGGTGCGGCGTGCCGTTTCAAACATAAGTGTTCTGGGTATGGAGGCGCGCATGGTTACAATCGCTGCTTCAAGAAGGGTAAGTCCTCCTCCTTGGGAGGAAGGTGCATCAGGGGCACCCACTTCCACTGGGGCGAACGCCAGTGAAGGT